GGAATCATCAGGGATGACACATGTCCGTATTAACAATTTATGGGTATATAGAGAACGTCACCCGAGTCTGATATTAAATATATCAACACGAGCCGATAAATAGTTGAAACTCAATGGATCTGCTGAAAATATGTTTTAAAAATACGTAGTAAAAACATATAGTTGTTTGGCCCCTTTAAGACATAAGAAACGTTGCCTTGAAGCCGTAATAGAAACAATATCCTGTCTCTTACAAACATCCAAGTACAGGATTACAGTGGTCGGCCCGCAAAAAGGAAGTATAGCCTGAGTAATGCAATACAGCACTCACGGATATCAGGAATCAATGTAGTGTAACCAGGATTGTGCTGGTAGAACACCAGACACTGTCTGCGGGCATGAGGCTCTATTCAATTCTTTATTCATGTACATGTGTAGGCCAGTGGCCCATGGTACAATATTTGGTCCATCATTGACAGTTATATGCTTAGTGTTTGGAGTCTAACATTCATAGCATGGTATTTAAAAGTTGCAACATTTCTAATAACAGTTTCATTGTTTACCGCCATAAGAATAATGAATTTAGCAAGAGTAGGATGTACAAAATACTTCTGTGGTAAATACTGAAGACGAAGTTAATCATAAGCGTTACAAATTAATAAAAAATTATATTTATTCTCGACATATCTTGGGTTGCAACTATTGCACAATCTCTGCTCTCGTGGAGTATTAACGTATCTACCAGTCTCAATGTGGAGAGTGTGGGAGCTACAGCGAAACTGGGCTTGTGCAACACGAAATTTGTTGATAGTGATAGCAGACAAATACATCTCTAGACTAAATGAATTTTTGAAAAGTGTATAATGGAACATTTTAGAACTATTTGCTAAGGACCAATGCCAATCCTCTTCGTACGCAAATTTTAACCGATCTTCACATTCGGAAATAAATGATTCGGGGCAAATAACATATGGGTTCTCCCATATATATCCAAATCCAAGGCTGTATAAAAGAGTTTTGACTTTTGTAGCCCAATTTGTTTTACCATGTGTGGCTAGCTGAAATAACATATCATAACTTTTCTTAGGATATCGTGAATTTGGGAGGGACATAAGTTTACACCAATATTTTATACAGCGTTTATACGCAGAAATGTACAGTGGGTATCTTCCACACTCTCCTCGCACAACATGATTGGGAGTAGACGTTTTAACACCTAGCAGACGTTTACAAGCAAGTACATAGATACTTTCTATTTCTTTACAGTTTTCAAAACTCCACATTTCAGCCCCATATAACATAATTGGAGCAATTTTAGTGTCGAATATTTGAAAAAATAGTTTCAGTGGAATAGGTTTAAGTGATGAAAGGGATTTTAGAACCGAGAACAATACCCGTTTAGCCTGCAATGAAGCATTGTAAGTATGTTTCGACCATGACAAATTCTTTGCAAATACAACTCCCAAATATGTGTACGATGATACACATTCCAACTGACAACCACGGAAATACCATTTCTCAGATCTAGATGAGGCTCTATTCATTCGTCTATTCATTCATTCGTGACACTCTATTCATTCGTAAATAGACACCCTGAAACACTTGAAAAACACATACGTTCTGAATATAACAGTGTGGTATGTGTAGACTTTTGACATAACGGTAGACCTTCTGAAATCCTGTGTGGACCCAATTAAATACAAGAACTTGGTTTACAAGTGGATATACGAGATGACTTTACGAGATGATGTTTTACGGTAATTCCATATCGCTCATTGTGTGACTCTTGTCCATGTGGCAATCGATAAAGAGATAAGTATTATAAATTGAGTCAACTTTGTCGCATTTGTTTTATGCAAGGTCACATCATGTGCCATTTGGACTTTCCCCCCACACTAAAGGAACACACCATGATACAACTTTAATACTGGGTCCACTCACTCACTCACTCACTCACCCACTCACTCACCCACTCACTCACTCACTCACTCACTCATTCACTCTCACTCTCACTCACTCTCACTCTCACTCTCACTCACTCACTCACTCACTCACGCACTAACGAACTCACTCACTCACTCACGCACTCACGAACTCATTTCGCTTCGCATAAAAATATAAAGAAGACAGTAGGGAAACGTGTAGCGAGATTGTGAGAAAGGTACATCATTTTTTTCAATAGTCATGTCTGTTTGAAATAGGTAGCAAATCTGTAGTGGCCTGCGCGCATGTCGCTAGACTCTCTTGATATTGTTCAACCGCTTCATTGGTATTCAGCCAAAGTAGGTCCGACATAGAGTTTTTTTTATAGACCGTGATTACCAACTCGGAACACTGATATTATCAAGTGCTCTCAAGTACATTGACATAGGGAGTGTGTAATAGATATCTTCCACTGACAGTGTTCTGTACACGCAAGGAAACAATGGCAGACCCTGGCGTGTACAATATTCTCATATATCTTAGAAGTTTAAATTGAACACACATGGGAAGACAGCTTGAAAGTACGCGACTGATGTTTGTGTGTAGGGCGATGTTTGCTTAGTTAACATAGGAAGTAACACTTGACTCCCGAATCACACCCGTTATTACTCGCCGTGCCCTCCGTAATGGAACATTCCATTCGTCACCACTCGCTTCTTTCCGTAACGTACAAGCAAGCTCCTCCCCTCGAAACGGCGCAAGCCAATCAGAATGCGCGTCATGATTTAGACACTTCAATGAGTGATATCCCAATTATGTAAATCAATTATAGCAATATCCGTTTGTTTGATATATTTGGGAAAAGTAGATTGTCAGTTTTACACTGCAATGTGTGCGAATGACAGTGATAGGTAGCATTAAATGAGTCTGTTACTTGTGTTTGTTTGCTTGTTTGTTTGTTTGTTTGTTTGTTTGATATTTAACGCCGCACTGAGCAATATTCCAGCTATATGACGGCGGTCTGTAAATAATCGAGTCTGGGCCAGACAATCCAGTGATTGGCATCATGAGCATCAATCCACGCAATTGGGATACCGTGACATATGTATCAACCAAGTCAGCGAGCCTGACCACCCGATCCCGTTAGTCGCCTCTTACGACAGACATAGTCGCCTTTTAGGGCAAGCATGGGTTGCTGAAGACCTGTCCTATCCCGAATCTTCACGTGTCCTGTTACTGGTGAGACTATGTAGGATGAGACAAGGGGCGGCCGAACGGTTCATGCCCTAATTGGATGGATTGCGTTGACGGAGTTGGTTGATAATTATTCTATAACATAATCCTCTCCGGGATCGGGATCTTGGATTTTGGAAAACGTCGAGGCTATTTCTTCCACTCTTGAATTCCGCTTCCTACCTAAAATATTTATATGTACATGAATGTACACTCCAGCCTTTTTCAATGATATTACTCAATTGGGCGTGAGATGGTTGGCGATAGTTCTATCATTGAAATACAAATTAATCACTCCCGTGAGTGGTGCTTTCACACATTGTGTTATACCAGGACTCTGTGGGTCATGAGTTCCCCTTCTTCTTGATCATCGAAAATTTGCCTAATCTGGCTCCCCCTGGTATGAAATAAGTGCAGTGGAAAATAGCATGTGCGTCATCATGAAAACTAGGAAAGTCGGTGAGGAGAGGTGAGGTGAATAGGGTTTCTGATTATTGCACATATTGCGCGTATATCGCGACGTGCATGCATAACTCAATGCCTGATAATATGAACAACAGGTACCAACAACAAGTACACATATGCGTGCGTGCGTGTGTGCGGCTTGTACCAGTCTGGACTAATGCCTGTTTCTTATTGCTTGCCCATTGAGATACCATGCTGCCATTTTATATGGAATACTGTGAGGGACATTCTCGCGATCTCGTATTCTCGCGATCTCGACTTCGGGAAACACGAGAATGCGAGATAGCGAGATATGGCCAAAATATCGCGTTCTCGCGAGCTCGCATTCTCGTGTTTTGATACATAGCAATTTTTGTCAAAAGTCGACAACGCGAGAATGCGACATTTGGACATGATAAAAAATCTCGCAATCTCGCAATCTCTACTTGTCAAATCAGGCCACAAAAACACGAAATCGCGAGAACGCGAGAACGCGACATTTCATTTTCTCGCGATATCGCGTTCTCGTGTTCTCGTTTTTTAGACGCTGTCCGTGCGCATGCGTAATATCATAAGGTCAAGGCGCATGCGCACGTTAGTAGCCCGGTGGTCATTCTTCTTTCATGCTCTTCATTCTCCAAGTAGCATTTAGCAAACTTATGACTTCAGCTTGAAAATGCTATGTAATTTACATACACAAAGTCCCATGTAGAGTACAGTAGAGTCCTCTCCCTTTGGTACAGTTTCCTATGTACTTTAAGTTAAAACCCTCAACATGCTCAATATAATTTAACAAAAGAAAGTGTGTGCATGAATATCCATGGATAGTGAAAACATAAAAGTGTCCGGAAGCTGGAAACAAAATATCACTGTCAGTGAGAGAGTAAATATTGCTTATAGCCACATCAGCAGTATTGCAGCTATTCGCGGTTGCACTGTCAGTTACAGAAATAATCACAGGCCAGTGATTTTCTCCATGAGGCAATATTATACACGGCTAGCATATTCATTCAAACAAAATTCTCAAAGACCAATTTGTAGCATTTGACTTAAATGAGATTGTCCGATGTTTTTACACGACACCATATTCGCTACTTTAGGCCATATAAAATTAATTAATAGATTTTCATCCTTTCCCACCTGACTATAAAACATCCCGCCTTACATTATTCTATTGCCTCAAAGTTCCTAGAAATAGAAATATCGCTAATATATGTGCTCCTACTCCGTACACGTAGCCCTACTGAGCACGCATGATGCATGTGAATCGCACCCTTCGACAGTAATTGTACACAAATGCCTTAAATAGTTCGATAACTAGGTTTTATCTTTTCTTAATTCTGTTATGAGGAATTTGTTTCCTCCAGTGTATGGTGTGTTGATGGGAATTGTTTTCGCACAACATTGTCTATTATTTGCAGACCCGAGAAGGGTGAGTCGGAGGAAGAAGAGTCGGATTCCAGCAGCGAAGAAGAAACTAGGAAACCCAAAAAGGTCAAGGTCAAGGTCGACAACAGTTGGAAACAAAGTGAGCTTAAAGATCTTGGCCTAAAGTTGACCTTCAAGAACAAAGAAGACGCTTTGGCGATAAATGAATGCAAGATCGAAAAATGGTCAATGGATGAGAGGAATAAACAGATAGAGGAGATCCTGACCGAGAAGAATGAGTTTATCGCCAGTGACATTTATCACGTGACGGGGCCGAAAGTGACTCTGACTGAGAATGTCACGGTTGTCGTTAAACTCGGCAAGGATATCTCTAAACGCCACAAGGTCAAGGTCAAGATGCACTCTAATGGGTCATGGAAGAATGAGGATGCTACATTTAAGGTTGGTAAATAAACTTCCTGAGTGAGTGAGTGAGTGAGTGAGATGTATACACGTTGTCGGGGGAATTATGGCCTGGGTGTGAAGTGAAATGGGGCTTAACGAAGCGTTCAAGAACAACAAGTAGCATCTTTAGCGTCTTTATGTATGACGCGGCCAGGGAATCGAACCACCCAACTTCCGGGTAGACGCTTGACCAAAGTGATGCAACCCTGTACGGTGACCATTTTGAGGAAACGACGATCAGAACTACGGCACTGACAAACTAGGGACATCAGCGGGGCCAAGATGAAACTAAAACTGCTGTACAGCGGGTTCTTGCACGGCTGCAGTGTTTTATGGGCAGATTAACAGGTAGCATGTGTACGTGGGCTTCAGGCATAACTAAGGTTTAACATTGGGTTGGTCCTCAAAATATTTAAACAATATGGAAACTGCATCAAATATAATATATGACACAGGTACAAGAGTTGTACATTGGACGAAAAAAAGTCAATAGTTATGTATTATTCTTTTATTCTAGCCAAACGATCTGTTCGAAGTTAAAAACTGTAACTTTCAACAGAGATGATTTATGACGGGTTTTTTGTGGGGTTTTTTTCAGAAAAACAGTGCCGAATTCAAAACCACTCAAGTTGAGGATTTCGTGATTGTGGGCGACCTTGTTACTAAGAAGGTCAAGATCCCTCCTGAGGGCATGACGGTCAAGGTCGATGACACTTCCAAGATGGAGGTGGAAATTCCAGCAGGCGCGGTGGACACTGACCAGGAACTGGATTTCCAGGTACGTTATGGGCTCATAATATCTTCTCGTTGATGAAAACAGTTCACAATGTCTACCTGTTGACCAAAACAGTTAATAATGTCTTCTCGTTGGTGAAAACAGTTCATTCTGTCTTCCTGTCCACAACATAAGTCACAGTTCACAATGTCTTCTTGATGACCAAAACATTTCACAATGTCTACCTGTTGACCAAAACAGTTCACAATGTCTTCTTGTTGATCAAAAACAGCTCATAATATCTTCTCGTTGATGAAAACAGTTCACAATGTCTACCTGTTGACCAAAACAGTTCACAATGTCTTCTTGTTGACCAAAACAGTTCACAATGTCTTCTTGTTGACCAAAACAGTTCACAATGTCTTCTTGTTGACCAAAACAGTTCACAATGTCTTCCTTTTGACCAAAACAGTTCATAATGTTTACAGTTGAAGGGAAAACAGGTCATAATGTCCACCTGTTGACCAAAACAGGTCATAATGTATTCTTCTTGACGAAAACAATTCACAATGTACACCTGTTGACCAAAACAGTTCCTAATCTCTTCTTGTTGATGACAACAGTTCCTAATCTCTCCGTGTTCATGCAAACACTTCATAACGCTTTCTAACGTAGCTCATAATGTCAATTCATTGATGAATGTATCCTTGTTCATGAAATGAATGAACATAGTTCATGATGTCTTTTTGTTGATGAAACTTGTGCATAATGTGTTCTTGTTCATGTAGTTGTAGTAGCAGTAGCATTAGCAGTAGTATTAGTAGCGGTAGTGGTAGTGGTACTGGTAGTGGTGGCGGTGATGGTAGTGGTAGTTGTGGTAAGAGTTCAGTATCACTGATGGTAGTTTACGATAAGTAGGTAGTACCTCATTGTAACATACACTATAGCGGAACTTCTTTTTCACAGATTATCCCTCCTGACGCGACTGCGATGGAAAAGTACCTGACCGGCGAGGACCCGATGTGTAAGTCTGTGGTGGGGGTCACCGAGTGCATCTATGGGGAGAGCTCCAAGGCCATCACCTTCAAGAAGCCAGTGACTGTCAAACTCCCGTTTGAGAACAAACCTGTAGATGATGACGTCACACTCGTCATGTTCCGGATGGTTGGCAATGAGATTACCATGATGGACCGAAGTACGGAGATTGGGATGAATGAGGGGAACGTGTGTAATCTGCAAGTGTCGGCGTTCAGTGGGTAAGTCACGTGATATACCCGCCTCGTGTAGCATTCAATTTGATTTATAGCTATTTATTATATACTTCAGTGTGAAAGAAGGAGTTTTCTGAAGTTGAGAAAAGTGATATTTTCATTGCACTGAACATAACACTTGATATTTTACTGCAGTAAACATAACACTTTGACGGAAATATTGTCATGCAAGAGTTACCTCCCCTTAAATTGTATTCCTGTATCGTAAGTGTCCCACCCGTACACCAACTGTTGACGACCTATTTACGTTAGTTCCACACTGACATGGCAACATAATGACAGATGGTCATTTATGGAGTTAATATTACTTCTTGCCGTTTGTTATTCTCTCGAACATGTTTCGTTATAATCTGTTAATTTAACTCGTCAATCGAGACTGTTCTTTTCGCAAAGCGCCATTTTTGTTACTTGACTTGCGTGTATTCTTCCGCTTCCGACAGCCGTCTCCTAGTTTTCAAGAATAATTTGTTTATGCTTTTATTTACTTTTTTTAAGATTTGCTAAAGCGAAACTACAGTTTTAGTCGCGAACACGAGGGGTGTTGAACCGTCCTTGTACGTTAGGTATAGAGAATTTACGTTTCAAGGTAATACATTTGTAATGAAATAATATAATTTTCCGGGAAAAAACTACGCAAAGAGTATATAATGAATAGGATCAACAGGACGAATGTAAGATTTTGACCCCACGATCATAGGTTCCTGGTACGTCTAGGGGACGCAACTCTGCACAGAGAATTGCGGCATCTTCGGCAACTGGGCCACCCGTGGCCATCTGTTAGATGAAAGCGAATAGTCAAAACACTTTAGAGCTGAGCATGTCCAGCATGAATGTAATATTTGATCAAACAATTCCTCATTTTCTGAGAACGGTCTTAGACAAACGGCGTATATATAACTTTTCATGGAAGCGTCAACAATCTGCCCCCGTTGGGCTTCTCGCCTTAATTCTATCCTTGACATACTGTTTTCCTTCAGCCATTACAGCCATTCTTTTGAGGGCGCCGCAATTCGCTGTGTAGAGTTGCGCCCCTTTGATGTACCAGAAACCTATGATCGTTGATTGGAATCAAGGTTAGCCGTGATTATGTCTCCAGGTTTGTCAGCACCATACCCGTGTTAGTGGGTTTAACCTAAGGGGTAAACGCCTGAGACCTGCATCACTTCGGGCGTTCCTCCCACATTAAGCTGGCACACCGTGATATAACTTAAATACTCCCACATCAAGCTGATACACCGTGATGTAACTGAAATATTGTTTTTTTTAAAAGTGTACGTTAAGTGAAGCGCTGTTGATTGCTGCATCAAAAGCATGTAAGGAAGGTGCATCGATTTGATGAAGTGTTGCATTGACGGACTTGTCATTAGTGAGTGAGTGAGTTCGGTTTAACGCCGCTTTCAACAGTATTCCAGTTATATAGCAGCGTGTCAGCTTAATGTGGGAGGAAAGCCCGAAGTGATGCAGGTCTCAGACGTTTACCACTTCGGTGAAACCCACGAGCACGGGTATGGTGCTGACAAACCTAGAAACATAATCGGGGCGAACCGGGATTCGAACCCACAATCATAGGCTTCTGGCGTGCCCAAGGGACGCAACTCTGCACAGCGAATCGCGGCGCCTTAGACGACTGGGCCACCCGTGCCCCCGGACTTGTCATTAATTTCAATGATGTTTGGGTCACAGTGTATAACCCATGATGAACTATGTAATGTCTTTAATTAACACACATTTATCATTGTACGGCTCCATGCGCCGTGCTTCATTTGTTTTTGGTTTGAAAAAGTTACATGGGGATGAATAATAGTTGGAAAGATGCAAACAAACTTGCAAAAGAAACTTTACCTTTGTCTCACATGTGTACAATGATATGCTGACATTGAAGTACAAAAATAATTCTGAAATTTTTTTTTGAAACATTCCTTACTGTAAAGTATTAATATACTTAGCACGTTTGCATCATTTTGGCAAAATCATTGACTGGTGTGCCTGTCCTAGAGCGCTTGCGCTCCTAGCCGGCAGCCGCTACCGAGGGGCAAGGTACGAGTCTAGTTCTATCCGACCTATGTCCCATTTCCCGTTTGACCAAATATACGTGAAGAGGGTCCGCCTGTCGAGAGGGTCGGGGACAGGCCTACAGCCTATCGCTTTCCCGGAACAGTGACCCAGTTTCCGCGTAGCGAGGTATTAGCTTTTTTGGATAATGTGAATAATTGGCTACGGGAGCAAACATATTAGCAGTATGGAGGTAGCTCTCACAGAGAAGTATGGTTCATTGTTAAAACAAATACGCACTCCTAACTTTGTGAGTTTCATCAATGTCAACGGTATCACGAAAACAACATTAAGAACAAGACATAAAGTCCTCTTAGAATTTAATATAAATGGCGCCAAGAACAATCCTTAACTTCAGGCTTGAGTTGGAGTCCATTTTTAATTATTTCTCTGGGAGACAGACAAGTGTCAACTTAATACCCCTTCTTTCTTGAAAACAAATTACACATTTTCAGAAGGTCATTGTTGTTTAACATCTTGCTAGTTTTGTTTTCATATGTTAGTTTTCTACTTTAATATTACATAAATACTGAAACTGAAATGTGTCATATTATCATTCCCGATTCTGAAGGTACCATTAACTTGTACATTACAATTTGTTTTACATAACACTTGATATTTCACTTCAGTGAACATAACACTTTGACGGAACTATTGTCATGTTCCACACAGACCGCCTCCGTGGTCTAGTGGTAGAGCGTCCGCCAGGAGAGCGGAAGGTCCGGGGTTCGATCCCCGGCCGCGTCATACCAAAAGACGTTAAAAGATGGTACTTGTTGTTTCCCTGTCTGACGCTAGGCATTAAGGGGCTAAAACAAGGACTGGTCGGCTCGGAGTCAGTATACTGTGTCTGAGTGGGTTATTCATGTTAAACTGCGGCATGGTATCTCTGTGGGCTAGCACTATAAATCTGCGTCAGTCCCAACTAGCACAAGCAGCCACACACACACATGCATGCACGTCGCTATATAAGTGCAATAATCTTGGAGGCGACGTTAAACCCAATTTCACCTCACCTGTTTTACCTTCTGGGTTACACATGTGCGCTCTAAGAGAGTACAGACACTTGCATCAATATGCTATAAAATTTCTAGGCGCCGTGTTGATCCTCAGGTTCAACGTTATCTGGTATTTATTATTATGTTTGTAATTTATGAATATTTTGATAATGTTTCATGACCCTAAATTTAACCTTTCGCAAGCTATGAAGTCTATCCTGTGATTTCCATTCATTCCTCCGTATGTGTTTTCAGATATATTGCAAGCTACGTAAGGAACGACGCCCTGGATGACCCCAAAACCATTGAGTCGGAGATTCGACTCTTGTTTGGAAAGAACTACATCGCCAAGATTCTGATATTTCGTGAGAGGAAAAACATGCCCACAGGGTTCCCGAAGCTCTGGGTGGAGATCGTGGACAAGGTCAACGTGGAGAAGGTTGTAGAGAAACGCACCCAGGTGGACAAACTGGTGGAGCTCCAAAACAGCCGCTCCCAGGACATCAAGGTATTCGACGGCTATCGCATGCGTATTGACATCGTCGGCAATCTGAAGGGCCTTCGTGATATTCCTAAGAGCTACTATCTTCTGACTTATTTGGATGTAGCTGACGACAACCACAAAATGTTTACGGTGGAGAAGAAAGGCGAAGTCCACACCAGCATCGGTATCATCAACTTCTACTGCGACAAGGGACCACACAGACGGTGTGTGCACTCTGTTCAGATGGACACTGTGGTGGGGTTCGACAAAGTCTACCGTACTGACCATGAATCGGGCCCAAGACAGAAGAGACTCGCCTCTGGTGGGGATGAAGCCTCGCTGATGTCTGGTTTTAGTGGACATGCTTCAAGCTCGTCCATCGGAAACGACGCCATGTCGATGGCAACTGGGGTCGCCGGTTACCAGGAAACACAACCAAATCAATTGGTACGCCAGAATTCTAGTCTCTCCATAGGGTCTGCAACATCTCTGATGTCACAAGCTCCCCTGTGTCCAGGTATGTGAATGATACTAGATCTGTATTTGAATAAGAGTAATGAGGACTTGGTGATGGCTGACTGAATGTTGCGTGGATCGTTGTTCTTGCTGTCAACCACTTGTTTACCTGGCCAAATTCGATTATACACACGTCATCGTGATAGAGCTATCATTGAGCGTGTTGATTCCGGAGTAAGGCAATATCTAAACACGTCTTTAGACAAAATCACTTGTGACGGTATGCCCCGAATATGTACTGTCCTTGGTCCGTGGGGTAGCAAAGTGGTAAAAGCGTTCACTCGTCACACCTAAGGCCCGGGTTCGTTTCCCACTTTGGGTACAGGAAGATCAGGACGGAAATATTCCACACTGGCGGTATTCTGTTTTCTGAGTATAGACCTTTGTACACATGAAATCGTTCGTTACATAAATCATACGGAAATTAGGGTGTCCGTACCAGCGGGGTGTCCTTGCTAGTGGGCGTCCATACTAGTGGGGTGTCCGTACCAACGGGATCGAGATAAACTGGATTACACTTTTTCGTCCTCGTCTAATCAACAGGTCTCCATGGTAACATAAACCAAGTATTTCCTTCATATTTATATAGCCGTGGTGCAACAGCGGCTTTGTTAGGGAGATAAGAACAACCCGATTACCACGTTTCTGTTATCAATTTCAGCGCTGAATGAAGGCAGTCTTTACAATATGGCGGAGATGATCAAGCAAGGCGACAATGGCATGAGCCTGTCAGCCCAACTCGGCATGTCAGACAACTATGACACCATCAGTGAAAGTAGCCAAAGCCAAAGAGCGGCTGTCTTCAAACTCCTGAAAGAATGGACGAAGAAGCAGACGACAACAGACGATGCTGTGGAAGAATTAACGTCTGCTCTGAAGGCCGCCAAGCTGAAGAAGGTGGCAGAAGCTTTCAAGAAGGCGGTCAAGAAGAACACATCCGTGTAGAGGCGAGACGCCATGACACCCTCCGGGGCATTCGTGACCAACTCGCGTTATTCCGGGACAAGCCGAATAGCGACTCGTGCCCCTCTCATGGCCATTTTTGTGACTAGGTTCCGTCTTAGCGCAAACGGGCATACCTAAAACAATTGTCAACTCGTTGCGTAATGGTTCACATATATTTCCCCATTTATTATGTATATTTCAGATGCAATTTAAAGGACATCGGGACGTGCGGAATTATACAGTATGATTGAACACATTTAACTGTGTCTTAGGTATATTTTGAGATGCAAGACATATGTAAAATCAAAAAATATTTCTGAGGGATTATTTGACAAAAAACGCGAAATCATACGCGCATTCTGATTGGTTTGTCGCATTTTCGCACATAGCATTCATCGAGAGGGGGACGAGTCTTCTTGCAGGTTACGGAAAGGGGCGAGTGGTGACGAATGCCTCCGGGGAACTACTTCCGGAAACGTGTACCAAGCTCCTCACAGCGATAGCCCGTTCGCGGAGCTCCGCACTGTGCCAGGCGGCCACAGCCATGCATGTAAGCTCCTCATAGCGATAGTCCGTTGGCGGAGCTCTCTATACTATCGCTGCCACCAGTCAAAACTCCCCACTGTGATAGGTGACCCCAACAATGCTTGGAGTTGAACTCGCAACCGAATGACCGTTATGTTTACAAACGAGTGACGAATGTCGTGACGCCGAATACACTTACCGCTGCTAAATTACTTTCTTTGTTTGTCAGTTTGAATTTCTATTTCATTAAAAGTATCATCTTTAACTGATATAGTAAGAATGTAAGGGAGAAGTTGGCTAATTTTCCGTTAGTCTGCAATCTCGAACCAATCTGATTATTAAAACAACAAAGTAAATTCATCTGGAAAACATAGTCAGTCGTAAACCTTTTCAAAATGAAATATGATGGCATTCCCAAAGACATAAACAAAAGTATTAACGTTACTACACATGGGGTTAGAGGGCAAATTTCAAGATTCTTGTAATGGCCGCGCCCACACTGGTGGCAGCGATGTTACCGAGAGTGTAACGAAGGTGTCACGCGCTGGGAAGGAGCTTGCCATGCATGGTGTTGACCGTGCAACTGACTGACCGTCATGTTTCTGTGATGACTGTTGTAACTATGACTACTCTTCCTCCAGCTAATTTTTTTGTCAATTTCAATTTCTATTTTATTTCAACCAATATGTCATTGTTGCGTGAATGTAAGCGTGAAAAGTGGATGCTTTTCTGCAATCTGGAACCAATCTGATTAAAAAAACAAACGTGAATTCATCTGTGAAAAAGTATGTCAGTCCTGAACTTTTTCAAAATTCACTACATGTCACTATATTTGGGGTTAGAGTGCAAAATTCATCCTTCGTCGTAGTGGCCGCTTGCACACTAGTGACAGCGATTATTCATGGAGGGTAACGGAGTTGTGACGTGCTGGGAAGGAGCTTGTACTGTACATAACAAGGGACATAACTCGATGGTCTTATAATTGTACATAGGACCCAACGGCTTGTACCAGTACTAGAATTTGTACAACAACCTAGTTAATACGACGTTATCTGAACATGCTGTGATTTTATGTGTTTAATAGTGTGTAATGGGGACAGTTGATATTTAATTGCCTGGAATGCAGTTTACTAACATTATTGGCTGGTCTCCCCTGGCATTATGTAATCTTCTGAAGGTGTTATCTCATGGTTAATTTTCTCTAATACACTGATTGATGTGCTCGTGGCTTTCACCGAAGTGGTAAACGTCGAGACCTGCGTCACTTCGGGCTTTCCTCCCACATTAAGCTGATACGCCGTGATATAACCGGAATATTGTTAAAAGCGCCGTTTAACCCGACTCACTCACTCACTCAAACTTCAAAAGTATCATGTTCCATATACTAGTAACCTCTCTATCCATCAGCATACGTCCCAGTCATGTGTTGGGCAGATATACACTCACCCTAATCAAACTACTACTACTACTACTACTACTTCTACTTCTACTACTACTACTACTACTTCTACTACTTCTACTACTACTACTTCTACTGCTGCGGCTGCTACCACCATTGCAATTACTACTACTCCTCCGTGAATTTGATTAAGCGGGCCAATCTGGATAAACGAGGTTTTGCTATATACGTTGATATGTTGGGAGGGGAGGGGCGTACTAAGCTATGGGTTGTAGAATCAGGAATGTGGACGAATAAGATTTCACATTTACTAGAAACAATAACTCATCCACCATTTATTCTGGTTTATACTCACTTGCTCGTGTGTATTCAACTGTATGGGTTTTTTCTTCTGAAAACAAGACATGCAAAATGTGTGCATTTGAAACTCGATGTTCTTCAATCCTCATTGTACTGCTTGTCTATCCCGGCAGTTCCCTGGGCAACAGATTCGTCTACATTAACATTGCATTCTCAGCTCCCGTGACACCCACAGGTATGTCTCAAAGTGCAGAAAATAACAGCATTACATCAAACATAGAACTTAAAGCGGAGCGAGTGAGATATCTATTTGCATAGAAACCCTGCGCATTTATTTACTATAATGGCATAACGTGAGGTTTGGGTGTTTTCTGTTTAGATTTTAGTTATAATATATACTTATATATTAAGTTATTAAATATATAACTGCAAAAGAAACGTCACTTCATGAAAATAAGTTTGACAGTTTTCCAATGATATGTCGATACATTTTCTCGTTTTTGAAACTAGTCTGTATGGCAAGTTTAATCTTAGACAAAAAGTAACAAAGAAAATGTGGATCAAACGGATCGCAAAAACGCAGCTGAACAAACGTCCATGGTACAAAGTCCCGTATGCTTTCCGTGAAAATCAAATGCACGTGTGTCTCCTTCTGCCTTTTCTGATAAAAGGCACCCCAACACGTGTATCCAACATTCTTGTATCGATACTAGCGTCATTTCAAGACTTTAGGCTTTATGAAGACTAGATATTGACCAGGCTGCACGAATGGTTGTCAATGCTTTTGATGTCCACGTGAGAATCTATAGGTCACCGTACAGATACCAGGCCAATACAGCACCAATGACGGCCCGCACAATGTCAGACCGAGGGTAACATCGCCGCGACAGGATCGACAGATTGTGCGTCAGCATCTGCAGGAACGTTTCACCGGGGCTTCTGAAGCTGCACGACAAACAGCTGGAACCCATTAGTTACGCACCAGTGCTGAAACTGTGCCTCGACGTTTGGCCAGCAGGAATGTCCGCTGTCAAACACCGTACCATTGCCCCATGTCACTGCCATGACCGACTACAGTGGGCCACGCAGCATTAAAATTGGCGTTATCGGCAGTGGAGAAGCGTTCTTTTCTCTGGCGAAATCCAAGACTGTGTTTCCATAGCCGATGGTAGAATGATAGTTTGGCGTAGACGTGGGGACACTCTTCAGATGGGTGTGTGATGGAAAGAGACTCCTGGGGTGGTCCAAGCATCATGGTATGGGGTACTATTGCTTTTAATCAGAAAGTTGGTCCTGTGGTGTTCCAGCATAATGGTGCAGGTCACTTTTGCCCGCTACATCGTCAAGTCATCAGACCCCACGTCGTGCCACATTTTGGACGTCACGGTAACCATGTCTTCCGTCACTAAACCGCCCGTGCCCACACTGCCCGAGCAACAAGGGGCTTCCTGTAACAACATGGCATCCGACCCATGCAGTGGCCTGCACTCAGTCCAGATTAAAACCCTATTGACCACATGTGGGACGATGTTCATAGAAGACTGAATGACGTGCGACCAAGGACGACAACTGCGGGTACAATCAGTCAGGTGTTTCTCAGAATGGGACCCAACTTCCAATGGCCTTATCAACCGACTAATTCACTCCATGTACAGAAGATGTATGCTGTAAACAATGCCCGCGGTGGTCACACAAGATACTGACTTTGAGTTCTCATGTTCTTATCTGTTCTGATGATTTTGAGGTGGTGATCATAACTGTAAAGTTTCATTATCAAACTTCTTAATTTGTGTTCATCGTCTTTTGAAATTAAACACTGTGGCATTTTGCATCGTGGTGACGTTTCTTTGGCGGTTATCCATCCATGTATGTTATATTTGCATGTTTCTTATTGGAAAATATAACGCGGCCATTTTTATTGACCATTGGTGAACGAAAGGGCAACTTAAAGACAAAAGGCCTTGGCTAAACGAGGTGGAAGCCTTTATCGGCACAAGACTAACAAAGCAATCGCTAAACGAGGGGGCAATCTATATCGGCCCAAGACAAACCAGTCCATGTTTGGGTCTATATGGGTGTACTGGTATCATTCACACTTTACATGCAGTACTATAGATTCATATATCTCAGCCAGTTTGTTCCTATTTAATTACTGGAGAGCTAAGTGTATACTTAAGATGTACGTTTTGTTTGCTTTTTGTTTCCAGTGGTGTCTTGTGTTTTGGGGTTTTGTTTGTATATTTTATTATTTATTTAAGCTGTGTCACTTTCTTATGAAGTAAAACCAATTCAGTTTCAGTTTACTTTAATACTGTAGTTGTTGTTTGTTTGTTATTTAAAGCCGCTCTCAGCAATATTCCAGCTATATGACGGCGGACTGTAAATTATCGAGTCTGGACCAGACAATCCAATGATTGACATCATGAGCATCGATCCACGCAATTGGCATGCATCAACCAAGACAGCGAGCCAGATCACCCGATCCCGTTAGTCGCCTCTTGCGACAGGCATTGTTGCCTTTTACGGCAAGGGTGGGTTGCTGAAGACCTACTCTATCCCGGATCTTCACAGGTGCTTTAATACTGTTGTATTTGTAGGGGCACCTATATTTTTCGTTCGTTGATTATCCAGTTAAACAACATCTCCATTCTGTCATGATAAATACCCTGGGCCCATTTGCTGTCGTAGCTTCGTTTTGAATCCGGTTCGAATGTGACACACCAACAATAGCGTCCAATAAAATTACGCTTTATATCTGGAAGGGAGAGGGGATGTTGTATCGAGATGAGATATTTTCCAGCTACAAAACCAGATAGTTATTCAGAACTATGAGCCTGTACACCTTGGAACAATGTAATTTTTGTGGCAGGCAATTCCTTTCTCTTATCAACAGTCTGAAGCAAATTATTATTTTCAAGAATGTCCAAGGACATTCTATTTTTGTCTATCAAATCTCCGCCATTGTGATTGGTTGTTGATAAACAAGTTCATGAGTGAAAGATAGTTGGTGCTGGGCTGGTGATAGGGAGCAGGTAACGTGACTTCCTTAACGAATCTATGGAGGGCCCAGAGTATTTAAGATTACATGACTGAGATGTAATCGCGGATGTTCCGTTGTATATGTACACAACTGGAAATTTTTTTTTGTTCATTGGATGTTCTGAAGCCATTTTACATCCTCTACCAAATCTATAGGGCGTTTTGTTAAACCTCACTGTCTTAAATTAGCCGCCCATTTTACTAAAATTACACTTAAGGAAGAAAATTTATGGATGTCAACTTCTTTATCATTAGGAAAAGAGGCGTGTTCCTTATCACACTAAAGAAATTGACATCCATAAATTCTCTTCCTTATGTGTATCACTTCTAAATGCCTTTCAAAGACTTAAAATTACACTGACCACTGAGGCCACAGCATGAATCATATACGACACTGTAATATAGCCTGATCATTGCACATCATAATTGTATCTTTTGC